TTTTTGGCTGATCCAGGGATTGAACTCAGGCCCTTGCACTTGCCAGAGAAGTGCTTATTCCACTGAGCCATCTCCCCGGCTCTTTGTTTGTCTTGAGACAAGGTCTTGCTGTGTAGTTCAGGCAAGTTCTTTACATAGTCTAGGCTAGTCTTGAATTCAACATGATCCTCTTCAGCCTCCTAAGTGCTGGGATTACAGAGCTGTGCTACCACACCCAGTTATATGATTAATTTTTAAACCTCATTTATTATATTGTGAAAAAGTTTTGTTACATGGTTTCATGTAATTATTTTCTTTTGTAGGTTGAGGAGTTAGTCAATGAAACATCTGAACTTGATGTTTCTGAAAGCAAAACACGAAGTGGAAAAGTCTTTCAAAATAAAATGGTAAATATTGCTTAGGTTTGTTTTCCTTTATTTATAAGCTTGTAATTTCACCCCATATTGAGTTTATTTTACTACTTTGTTTATTGAAGCAATATTTATTAAGTACCTATTATTTATCAAGTAATTTTTTTTTTTTTTTTTGCGGTACTAGGGATTGAAGGGACCTTGCTTTTGCCAGGCCGGCATGTATGCCACTGAGCTATATCCCTGTCCCTGGTCAAGTACTTTTATTAGGTACTGAGGATATAATATGGTTAACACATAGTTCTAGATCTTGGCTAAAAGTTTGGTAACCAAAAGTAAACAAGCAATTAACTTATTCAAAAGTTTTTGCATAACCAAAGAATCATCAACAGAGTAAAGAAGCAGTCCACAGAGTAGGGAGAAAAATTTTGCCAGCTGTTCCTCTAATTAAAGTATACGAAGAGGGGCTGGTGAGATGGCTCAGTGGTCTAAAGCACCTACTTAGAACAAGCTTAGCAAAGCACAGGGACTGCGGTTCAATCCCCCAGCACCACATGCCAGCCAGCCCCACCCCCTGGTGGGCTGAGCTGGCCACACACACACACATAAATAAATAAAATTTAAATAAAGTATACGAAGAACTCAAAAAAATCAGACCCCTCCAAATTTAAAGACCCAGTGAAAAAATTGGTATCTAGGATGTTACTTTTCACTTGCTGGGACAAAATATCTGTCACCCAAAATGAAGGAAGGAAAGGTTTATTTAGCTCACAGTGAAGGTTTTAGTCCATATTCAGGTGGCTCCAAGGCAGAAAGGCACATGGCAGAGAGCAATCATTTGTGGCTGCAGCAAAGAAGGAGAGGAATTGTGGTAACAATGGCAATAGAGAGCAAGTCTGTCTCCCTTAGAGTGCATTCAGGCTACCCATCCAGGCTGGGTGTTGCATTCACCCTCATAATCTCAACACTATATCAGGAATTAATCACAAACTCTAGAAGTCTGCCCCAAAACTGCATGAGGTTTTGGGGGGACAACTAGACACAAACCATAACATGAAATGAATATACACTTCTCAGATGAAGTCAAAATGGCAAATAAATATATGGAAAAGTGTTTAACATCACTGGTCTTTTGGAGATTAAAACAATTCTGAGCTTCCTTCTTACCCCAGAAAGAATGACTGTTATTAAGAAATCAACTGCCAGGGAGATCACTCAGTGGCATAAGCACCTGCGTATGGTAAGCACAAGGTCCTGAGTTCGATCTCCAGTACCAAAAAAAAAAAGGAAGAAATCAACCAATAACAAGTGACGGCTGGGATGTGGGGGGGAAAAAAAGGAACCTTCACTGTTAGTGGGAGTGTAAACTAGTGCAGCCATTGTGGGAGTCAGTGTGGAGATTCCTCAAAACACTAGGACTAGAAGTCCCATTTGATCCAGCTTTTCCCCTTCTTGGTATCTTCCCAAAAGAATTAAAAGCATACCACAGCAATATATGCATACCCATGTTCAACCCAAATGCTCACCAACTGATGGATAAAAAAAGATGTGTTTTTATACAATAAAGTACTATTCAGCCATAAATAAGAAAAATTTGAGCCATTTCTAGCTAAATGGATGGACCTTGAGACCATACTTTAAGTAAAATAAATTGGACACATGTGTAAATATTGCATTAGCTCTTTGATGTAAGAAACTGTAAGTGTAAATAACAAAAATTATAATAGAAATTGTTAAATAGGAAGAAATTGCTCAAAATGGAAGGAAAACTAGAAGAAGAAGGAAGGCAAAATAAAAAAATGAGGAAAAAAAAAAACATAAAAAGGAAAAAAAGCTTTGAAAATGAAGAGACCAGGTGCAAGAGAGAGGAGAATGGGAAGAGAGAATAAAGATAAATCAAGTACCAGTATAAATTCCCTATGATGAATGTGATCACTATGTACATCTAAAATGTACCAATAAACTTTTTTTA